ATGCATCCCCAGTGCAGGGTTAGGGATGCCCGAGCATCCTCTGCCCGGCAGCATCCTCACCTTCTCAGTCCAGCCTAGGGGTGTCGTGGGGTGCCTGGCCATGGGGTGCAGCAGCAGCAGCAGGAGGGCAGCACCCCACAACTGGGCACTGCTGGTCCTTCCCCTCCTGCGCTCCCTTCCCAGCATGAGTCCCCTGAATGCTCCATTTGAAGCTAATTCCGGCTGAAATCTGGTTTGCTTTCCAACGTTGCTGCTTTAAATTGGAGAGATTGACCTTGTAGCAGGAGGTGACATGCAGATGCACATCAGCAGCCCGTCAGAGCGGGCGGCGGGGGCTGGGGGGGCTGCGGAGCCGCCTCGGGGACAGGCCAACTATTTTATGAGTAATTTAATATCTGGAACAGAGACTTTTCATTCCCAGAGATCTGCTGGGGAAAGAAAGAGCCTTTCTGCAGCCCTGCAAAGGCTGTTCCTCATAAGAAGGCAGAGCAGAAAAAAAAGGGCTGGGACTTAACCCCTTGGTGTCCAGCCCAGATCAGAGCCTCTGCAGCTCCGGTCCCTGCAGAGGCACCAGGAGAAGCGGGAGTTCCCTGTGCAGATGGAAGTGGGACACAAGCCAGGCGGTGCTGCTCCAGGGAAAGAAGCACTTGCTCCTTCCCATTCAAATTCAAATCCAAGCTTGCGTGAGGATGGGGAAAACAAGTTTATGGGAAGCCCTGAGGTTAGATTTGGGATAGGAGGAGTTGTCTGAACTCCCCCTCTCAGACTGATTCCTTTTACTACACAGGACTCCCACAGAGGTTGTGTCCTGGTTTTTCTGGGATAGAATCAGAGAATCCCTTTTCTTTTCAGGAAAGCTGCATTTCTGAGGAGACCTCGGCACTGGATGTAGTGGAAAACAAAGTTGATCAGACACTTTGTTTCAGCTTGCCTACAGCACTGGTATGCAGTTGCCTTAGTGATCAAGGTCCTTAGCAGTTTAGAGATTAGTCAGGTGCAGAAGCTGAAGGGAGCAAAAGCTGGGGGCTTTCGGGGAAGCAGACCAAGCTGGCCAACAGAATTATTCTGTACCATAAACATCGCATTCACTATAATTTGGGGAGTTTATTGACGACACCCTCTCTTTCCTCGAAGCTTGGAATTACCAGAGAGTCTCATCCATCATTCCACTCCCAAGTGCTCCCACTCCACCAATTGTGACCGTCACGTTTTCACCAGAGCTGTTATGCTTGCAGTGTTTATTTCTCTTATCTAACACTCACTGCTGGGAGTGCACAGCCAACAACTGCTATGTGAGCTGAGTATAGCTTTCTGTGTTTTATTATCATTGTTTCTATTGTTATTACTACAATGTTATTATTACTAATTTAGTTTTATTTCAATCATTAAACTGTTTTTATCTCAACCCATGGGTGTTCTGACCATTCTCCTCTGATGCTCTCCCGCAGTCCAGCAGGGAGGGGGGGCGTGAGCGAGCGGCTGTGTGGTGTTTAGCTGCCTGCTGGGTTAAAACACAACAGGTTGCAACCAGTCCCATCCTCCAGCGGAGCCAGTGCTGCCAGGGGATCTTGCTCGGGATGGTTTAGGAAGGGCTCTTCCTTGGGTAGCAGGTACTGGGAACTGAGTGGGCTCATCACAAATGGACGAACACCTTCACAAGTGTCATGGTGTTTGCTAGCAATGTTAGACCATTGTTGTGGATCCAACATCCCTGGCTCAATCTTACTGACACACAGCACGAACGTGCTTTGATGTTTCCAACTTCACTTCCCACGCATGTTGATAGGCACCTAGAATGCTCCACCACATCAGATCTTGCCGGCGTCCTGCTTACACCTGGACTGGAGCTTTGGCACAGAGAAGATGTCCAAAAAACCCAGCTAGATGGTGCAGGGGAGACCTCTGTATGATATTCTTTCTATGTCCCTTGAAATAGGAAGATTTTATTTTAAAATCCCATCAACTCTCTACCAGTGCCTTTGCACATCAGTGGTTTTACTCCAGTTGAACTTTGGACCAAACCAGTGCCTGGTTGCAAGGAATCCCCTGAAAGTGACCTTAACACTTGCAACTGTTCAGTGTCGCTGGACACCTTCATGTGGTAGGTGATGGGACAGGGTGACTGGGTGGCATGACTGCTCTGTCCCGCTCTGCTGACTAGCTCCGTGTGACCTCCAGCACTGAGAGACCAAAGCATCCCAGGGCTGCTTATCTGCAGCTTGGCAAAACACACACAACCCTGAAACCCCTGCTCTGAAGCCACCTCGAAACACCACTCGCCTCAACTTCTACCAGAGCCTCTGGGTACATCCCAGATGTTTGTGGAGGCCTGATGCCACAGACGAGGGTCACAGCACCACCTGGTGAAGCTCTAGGGCTTAGCTCTGGCTTGGTCGTGAGCAGGTTCTGCTGCTCCAGTTTCATCTGCGGTGCCATTAAATTAAAAATCGAAAGGGAGAGAAGAGAGGCAGAAGATGCTTGTCAAGAGCAGAGAGCACCCACAGAGCAGCGAGGATGTGAACAGAGCATGGGTGCACAGCGTGAGCATGCACAGCGCAGTGCAAGCGAGCACAGGGATCGCACACGCAGGGCAGAGCGAGCCTGCACAGAGCGCTGGCACAGCTCCATCAGGCCCCAGGTGAGAGCAAAACCTGCAGATCTATTCAATGAGTGCAGATTGAAGTTTGGTGGGTGACAAGCACTTTTGAGTAAGATGTAACGGATTAACTTAAGGTGCAGATTGGGGGTTTTCCTGTGAGACAGTGAATGTGGAGCTTCCCTTGTCCTGCATTTTCACCACCAGGCTGCACCTGACCCTGCACAGGTTTCTCTCCAGCTCTCCTGTTAATGGTTTCATTGTTCCAAGACTGCTTTGTTCTACATGGAATAATTAATTTCATAGCATTGTGCAGGACAGGGGAGGTTTGGCGTGGCATTGCTGGGTGCTGGCCAAGGCCCACAGGGGAAAGCACTGCCCTGTGCAGCTCTGTTTTCCAGCTGTGTGAGCACAGTAAGCTGCACTGCAGAGACAGTCGGTACCTGCACTGCCCTCTGACCCTCTCCAGGTACAGCCAAGAGCCCAGAAACCCTTTGGCTTGTGCTGGTGTTAGGTCAGATGTTAGCTTTAAAAATAAAAACAGCTCAACTCCAGAGGGGTCCTGACAAGGACCTTTTCAAAAGTCCAAAATTATTATATCAATTACTCAGAAAGGCAGAAACCTTAACCTTGCTGTCCACCAGTATCCCAGGTCCCCTCCTGCAAAGCTTCCTCCTGCCTGTCCTATTGCATGGGGTTATCCCATGCCAGAGGAAGGGCTTTGCATTTGTCTGCGTTAAATGTCAGTCAGGTCCTGCCAGCTCATTTCTCCAGTCTGTCAAGGCTCTCTGAATGACAGCCCTGCCCTCCAGTGAACTGACTGCTCCTCGGTTTGGTGTCTCCGCAGTTTGCTGAGGGTTCAGGAGACTTAGCTGGTGTACAGTAAGGGTCAAATATGTGCTGTTCCCCTCCATTTCCCCAATGACCTGATTTTATTTGGGATGCTGCATCTTCAGCTGCAAAATGGCATGAGCGTTGCAGCTGCATTTTAAAAGCAGCCCCGTGCTCCTGCAAAGGGAGAGCTTTGGGATGCAACGCCGACTTTCTGACAGAAGGCTGAGATCTGGGGACCGGGGTGGCTGCATTCCTGGGGACAGGAGCCACAGATTTTGCTGGGGAAAAGACCAAGCGGTGCGGCGGCAAGGACGAGGCATTAAAGCAGGGCTGCAAGAGGAGGCTCTGATCCTGTCCGGTGCCTTCTCCCCGACTTTATGGGCAAGATAGAGCCTCACCTCACGCTTCTTCCCGCTCCCTGCGAGCTTTGCCTTGCAGCCCCGGGGCCGAGGATGCCCCGCTGGCAGGGAGGGCTGGTCCGGTCTCCAGTGCCATCTGCCGGCAAATCATCCCGGAGCCACCGAGCCGGCTGCCGCCTGCGCTGGGCAGGGAGGGCTGTGAGGCCCTGGCTCGTCCATATCCCACCCCTCCCACCCCCCAAGACCATTTATCATAATCCCCTTCATCCAGCCCCTTTCAAATCCTAGACCCCACAAGAATTCTCCTCTTCTATGTCCTGAGGACACCACGTACACCCCCATGGGCTTCACAACCCACAGCTGCCATGGCTGGGCTGAGGGCTGCAGGCAACCCACCCACCCAGGTACAATGCTGTACCTCATGGGGGTCTTCAGCTCTTATTCATCTGGAGGTCTTCGGGTCCATCGTCTCTATTATTAATAAGGACATCTCTGCAACGCCTTGGCTGTGCTGTAGGACTTGCACGTGTGGGTCCTCTGCTGGGGTTATGGCGTGCTCTGGACCACGCTCAGCTGCACTGGGGCATAGCCATTTGCCCCACACCTCTTCCATCACAGCATCAAGCCCTGGCTTCCCCACTTACCCTGGGCTCATCTTGTCACAAGATTTGACAACCTTCTGTGGGTATCACTGTCACCTCTACCCCCCAAAAAAGGTCTATGAGAGGTTGGTGTCCCCAGATCCTACCAGCCTCAGGACTCTCCAGTACAGCACCATCTCCCCACCTACCAGTGGCCCAAATTTCCCCACTATGTTGTGTGTTCCACCCCCTTCTAGAGACCAGGCTTCCTCTCCATGTTTTCCTAACCCTGGGCTGGGACTTTCTCTCCGTGTCTCAGACTCAACGAGATCTGCAGCAGGAACTGCATGAATCATCTGGCTCTGCACAACAGTAATGAGGAGCTAATGAGCCTTGGAGGAGCTAATGAGCCAGGAGGCAGTGACCTGGGTATCTGAGTATTATTCAGGAGGAAGGAGGCAAATCCTAGGATTTGGAACCAGGAAGGAACCAGCAACATAAGGAGCTGTCATTTAATGTGCAAGATGGGCAGCAATGCGCTTAGGGCACCAAATCTGGAGCGAAGAGTCATTTCCAGGGGAGTCCTCAGCTCTGCAAGGGCCAGAAGGGCTGCAGAGAGACACCCTTGGTCTAGGGCTCGGGGAAGATGAGGAAGCCGGAGAAGATGCTGTCGGATCCTTCGATCCCCACCAGGGAGTTCTTCTCTGTTGGCTCCAGCCAGACAGACTCATTCACTGCCACGTTGAGGACCACGCCACCTGTGGTGACCTGGTAGCTGCTCTGCACGTAGTCGCAGAAGGTCACCACCTTCTCGCCCCTGCTGCCACCCCGGCCCTTTTTCACGTTGAGGCACAGGTTGGCCCTGGAGGTGACGTGGTAGGTGAAGTAGTAGATGCCCGGCACCCGGCAGATGAAGCGACCATACCGGTTCTCATAGTGGCCCTTCTCGTTGGTGATGATGCGGTCAAAGCGGATGGGCTGATCCCGCCGTGGGTAGGAGCTGAGGCTCCTGGCAGCAGAGAAGGCAGACTTGCGGGTGTCCTTGAAGTCACCAGAGTCCCCCTGAGGGCCTGGGGGTCCTATGGGACCTGGTAATCCCCTTGAACCCGGGGGGCCCCTGGGACCAATCTTCCCAGGGTATCCCGGCTCTCCTGGATCCCCTTTTTCCCCCATGTCTCCTTTGTGGTCCACCTGGCCAGGAGGACCTAGAAAGCAGGAGGAAGAGTTGTTGTTGCCACAGCCAAGCCCCATGGGTCTGCAGAGAGGGCACTGGGAAGGAAACCACCAGTACCGGTGCTGGGGTGCAGGTCAGCGGAGACCCCTGCCCATCCCCTTGCTCTCATGCAACCCCCTCCCCAGGTTCCTCAGAGTGCTTCAGTCTGTCCATCCCCTTCTGTCCCTAAGTGTCACCTCCACCTGATAATAGCCCAAAGGGACCAGTGGATAATGGATTGCTTTCCCAGGACCGTGCACCTGGCACTGCCTTTTCCTGCTCTCAGTATTCACAAGATGACGCTTTCCCCGCCTGCAACCTCCTCCTTACCTTGCTCACCCTTCAGGCCTTTCACCCCATCTCTGCCATTGCTGCCAGGCCGTCCTGGTGACCCTGGGATGCCTGGGATGGTGCCATGGTTGTTGCAGAGTGTGGCACTTGCAAGCTGCCCTCCAACCAGGCAGATCACCACCACCCACACGGCCTGCATCTGCTGGAGCACAGAAAGGAGTCAGGGGCTCGCCTTGGGCAGTGGAGGGGTGGGGAGGGCACTCTATGCTGCTCTGGAGGACGATGACTGGAAGCATATCTGGGTAATACCATCAGGGAGGGAAAACATCCTGCTGCAGAGCCAAATCGCTGTCCTGATGGCCTTGGGGGGACCATCCCCTTTGGGCATGGGAGGACTTGTCAATCTCTTCCTATTCTTAAATTACCAGTGTACAAGTGCCCAGAGCTTCAGCCATATGAATATCTGCGGACTGGTTAGTGTGTCCTGGAGGTCTGATGTCCAGCCTGGCCCTGCTGCTGCCACAGGCAGTGCTGAAGTTCCCTGCTGCTCTGAGTGCCCACTGCTCCCTTGGAGGAGAAATTCTCCAACCCGTCTTAGGACCAGTACTATAGAGAAAAATCCTACAAGAAGAGCAGTTTCACCATCTGCCTTTGCTTTCCACCAGCCTATCTGAGGACAGGAGGACAGGAGCCTCTTAGGGCAGGACACCACCCCCAGGGCTCCTTTTACACTGATGCTTTGTCCCTGATCACCCCTCTGGGCGTTTGCCATCTCCCCTTTCCATCTCCCCCTTCCTTCCAATGGAGCAGGAGGGATTGGGGTCCCCTCAGGGATCTCCACCACCCCCAGCTCAGCAGCCCCATTTCTCTTCTGCCCCAAGCCACAGCAAAGTGCCAGCGATGTAAGGAGTCACTAGTGCGTGCTCCTACCTGCAGGGGGGAGCTGGGGCTCAGCCTTGCCGACGCCATTCTCTTACCTTGGACAACTCGTTACACAGGTGGCGAGATGGGGCAGGACACATCAGTGTCCTGCGTGGAAATGACCATGAGGAGAAGCAGAAGTTTGCTGGAAGAGTTATTGTGAAAGGGTCTGGGCCACATCCCTTTTTTATCTTTAGCTCCCAGCCTTTCTTCAGTGGCACTTTCATATCCGCCACAAATGCTGTCTGTCAGCTCAGCAGAACATGCTGACCTCCAGCAGCCCCTCAGGTGCACAGCTCTGGCCCCAGGGAGAAGAAGGATGTCCACTCTGTCCTGCATGGTCCCTGGGTCCTGCTCAGGTGTGCTTGCTATGGAGAACACTGCTGTGAGCTCCAGAGAAGTTTGGGACTGCAGAAATGTGCATGCACTTTGCTGGCCTCCCTCAGGCTTCTCTGCACATACCCGGCTCTGCTGGGAGGCACTGGCAAACCCAGAGGATGCCAGAGGGTTTCAGCATCCATCACCTTGAATTTGTTGTGGATGGGAAGTGATTTCACCCTGCAGCAAGAGCATTTTCAGTCCTACTTTCTGCTGATGGCATGCGGAGGTGAAACACAGGACGTTCAGGGCAGATAACCTTCTTTTCCACTATACTGTGCATGCCACAGGAGGAATCTCCATTGGATTTTGGTGGGCACTGTAGCCTCCACAGTCTCCTTTGGTCTGGCCCAGGGAAACCAGTGTACCCCATGCCCTGTCCCTGGTGAGGCTGGGACATTCTTAGGGTCCCCTCCCCCTGAAGATATGGTGATGAGGTTTGCTGTGTGGTGTGTGGCCCCCTGCAATGGAATTGGATCTGCTTGGAGGGGAAGGGAAGTGTCAGGGTCCCTCCTTGAGGAGTCTTGGTCCCCTCCTAGGTGAAGGCTGTGTGCATGGGCATGGGAACATCACCTTCCTGCAGTCAAGGATGCTGGGTGTCCCACCTCATCATGCAAATCTGGGGTTGTGAGAGGTGTGTGATGCTCGCTGATGCTGAGCACAGCTGAGCCAGCGAGGGCTCGGGGACATTCTCATGCCACACAGACATCCAGATGTCATGCACACATGCACGTGTGACCACCACATCCATCCGGCCACACAAGTTATTGAGGAAAAAACATTCTAGTCCAGGTGCTCTGGGGAAGGTTTTATTGACAATTTCCACAGCTGGGTCATGGCAAAGGTGCTGCTGCAAGCCTGCTCCAGGACACCTGGCTGTCCCTGGTGCAATCCAGGTGGGGAGGGGAGAGTTGCAGAGAGACCTCCGGCTCCAGCAGCAGGAGGTGATATGAGGCTATCAGAGTGTATGCACGTGGCAGTGCCAGCAGCACCCGGGGACTCGGCATCATCGCTTGGGGTGCAGATGCATCCAGACGTGCCCGGTGCCCCCATTCAGTGGCTGCCTGCACTTCATCCCCAGGCGAGGGGGTTGTGTCTGGCTGCTGGGGCTGACCCCCCTGCTGAGGCTTTCCCCACCCAGCAGAGAAACCTGCAGCACCAGCAGCAGCCTGGCAGTGAGCAGCAGCATTTGCAGGGCATGGTGAAGAGGTTGGTGTGCTGAGGTGGGGTCTGGTGGTTCTCTAGTCTGGGAAGAGCAGGAACCCCGAGAAGACGCTGTTGGAGTTGCCAATGCCCACCATGCCGTTGTAGTCGTTCACCTCCAGCCAAACCTGGTTCCCAGCACCCACGTGGAGGAGGACCCCACCGGAGCTGACCTGCATGGTGTTGGTCTTGTGGTCGCAGAAGCTGGCCATCTTGCTCCCGTTCTTGTACAGGATGGTGCAGAGGTTGGCTGTCAGAGAGCTGTGGAAGACGAAGTAGTAGAGGCCAGGGAGCTTGCAGGTGAACTTGCCCGTGGTGGTGTTGTAGTCGTGGTTGGTGTTGGTGATGACGTCATTGAACACCACTGGGACATTCTTTAAGGGGTGCTCGTTGGTTTGCCTCGTCACTGAAAATGCTGACTGGTGCATCTGCTTGTAGCTGCCCGGCTTACCTGGCTCCCCGACCATGCCCATCATCCCAGGGTCTCCAGGGGGACCAGGGGGACCGATGGGGCCAGTCTTGCCTGGCAAGCCAGGACTGCCAGGTTCCCCTTTCGTGCCCTTGGGCCCTCGTGTTGCAGAAGTGGCTGGGATGCCTGTAGGGTGGTGGGGAGTGAAAGGAAGTCAGTGTCAATGGCAGGATGTGGGGAGAGGCTTCTTCAGACCATTTCCTAGGGCAGGACAGAGCTGTTGCCTCTCTCCAGCCTCCTCTCCTCCTGTTCTGTCCACAGAGGATGGTCTCCACAGCCTGCAAACCAAGGCAGTCCAACCACTGAGCAGTCAGTGGCCCCCCTTCAAAAGCTTGTGTGGTTGCCCTCCTTGCTCACTCACCTGGCTCGCCTTTGGCTCCTTTCAGCCCATCCCGGCCATCCTTGCCTGGTGCACCTGGCATGCCTGGCAGGCCTGGAATCCCATAGCAGCTGTGAGGGGCATCTGCAGTCACAGTGGACCCCAAATTCAGGAGCAGAAGAGTGAGGGCCAGCTGGAGCTGCTCCCAGAAGCTCTGCCCCATTTTGGTGCTCTAGAGCATGGAAAGTGAAAGAAAGAGCTGAGCTGACCATGGGGCTCAGGAGGTGCTGTGCTAGGAGGCTGACTGCACCAGGTGCACCTGGTTGTGATGGCTGTGTCCTCAGCATGTCCCCCATACCAATCGCCTGGCGGTGGGGAGGTGGATATGTAGGGATGGACACTGGGCTCATCACCAACCCGAGGGCAGACCCTGATGGCACAAGCAAGGTTGGACTTTCAAGTCTGGATGAAGCCATGAGGTCCATGGCCAGCCCCAAGCTCTCCCAGCCCAGTGTCCTGAAACCCTGCAGATGCACACGCCGCTGCAGACCATTGCACCACACTGAGGGAGGCTGGAGCTCTCTGGCCCCAGCTGATCTCAACTCTCCTCCAGCAGCAGCCTGACTTTCATGGCTCTGCCTAACAGGCTCAAGCCCCCATCAGCTGGGGGTCTCCCAGAACAGTGCCTTCTCCCATCAAGGACAAGTGTGTGGCTCCCATGCCATGACACATGTGCAGCCTGGCAGTGCCTCTGTCTCCTTCTCCTCCTTTCACATAGCCCAGCACTGTGCCATGCTGATGGATCCCCGTCCCCCTGCAGCCCACCCCAAAGAGATGGACCCTGCAGCACCTCTTACCTCTGGTGAGGGGAGCAGGGCACGGGATCCTGTGCTGCTGAGCCCTGGGGCTGCTGTGGGCACTGCCGATCGGCACAGCACAGTGTGGGTGACTCTCCGTGACACCCACCCGGAGGAAGATGCAAAGTCAGGAAAGGGCCTGTGGGGAGCCAAAACCCCCAGCTGGCCCCCAGCTGAGTTTCACATCCTCCTGCCTGGTTGTTTCCTCTGAGCAAGCACTTTCCTGGCTGTCCAGCGAGACCTGTGCTTGTGTCACTGGAGAAGCAGGGGCTGAAAGGACAGAGGTGGGGTGAGCCTCTGCCCAGAGATGTGCTACAAACCCTCCATGGGGGCTGTCACTCTGAAAATCACCTGCCTTTCCCCAGTCTTTAACTCATTTCTGAGCAAGCTGATGGGGAGCAAACCCCTGTGCCAGCTTTGCAGAGGCAGAATAATCTGTGCAATGATGGGCTGGTGCAAGGTCATCGCCTTGGCTCTGATGGGAGACGCTGCACTCTAGGCAATGGGACTGAAAGATGTTAGTGCTTGGGGGTTTCTGACCTGCAGGATGGTTGTCCTCTCTGCCCCTTTGTGCTCCACCAGCTCTGCTGGCTTCTGAATGCACAGGGGCCCTGCCATCCATGGTCAGGGGTTGCTCCTTGCAGGCGATCTGGCCTCCTTCTCCCTGCTCCAGGAATGGAGACATTTGACAGCCCAGCATGTGTGAAGCAGCTCCTCTGAGCAGCAGCCCCAGGGTATGGCACCTGTGTGGCTTCCACGATGCTTCCTGGCTGCCTGATACCTGCCCAGCCTGCCCTGCTTACTATTAGACTTGCTCTAAGCCGAAGAGAGAAGAGCATCACCCTACAACCCCACCACCATCACCCCACAACCCCATCAGTCACCCTGATGTCCCTGTCCTTCCTTGCTGAAAGGCCAGAGGACCACAGCTGCCTTTGCCCATCCTGGGAGAGTTTGGGTACCAAGAGAGGAGCATGTGGGTGAGGTGTATGATCTGCCCCTGTAGATGACAGCTCACTTGGGCTCATTGGAGAAAGGACACGCATAGTCTCCTCCCAGAGATTTCCCTTTGCCCATTAAGTTCCAGCTCTGCTTGTGCACTCAGTTCCCTCCTCTGCCTTTGCACTTGGGATCTCTGCTTGGCCAGGGACAAGCTGGGATCGCTTCTCTCCCTGGGCAGCTTGGGAAGGGGCTCAAGACATTGAAGGCTTGAGGAGGACTCATGAATAGAAGGGAAAAACCCAAGCAGCTGTCATGGGAGCAAGATTTATTTATACAGATGGGGAGGATGTGAGAGGCAGCAGTGGCCTGGTGCCAGAAAGGCGTTTTCAGTGGTTAGTGCAGCAGAAGCAGTGGCACGCAGTGATTTCCGACTCAGGGAGCAAAGAGCCGTGGCTGGTGAATGGCCCCAGTGTCAACTGGTCCCCTCTGGTCTGGGGTCTCAGTGGCCAGGAGCAGAAAGGACTGTGGCGCCAGGGGTCCTTTGTCCACAGGATGGACGGGGCAGGCTCAGCACGGAGGTCACTGCAGGGTCTCACTGCTGCAGTGGTGACCCACAGACCGGCCACTTTGTGACACTGCTGGAAGCACACAACCTGTCTGGTGGCTCAGTTTGGGGCCATCCTGGTTTGCTGTGATACTAAACCATCCCACGCACTCACAGGGGGAAAGCACACGCAGACACACACCGGAATGCTCTGGTGCTAAGCCAGTCCATACTGGCTGTCCATCAGCCCATCTGCGGGACATCTGCGGGAAGAGCATGAAGCCACTGAAGACACTGTCTGCCTCGGAGCCGCTGTAGATGGTGCTGCCCCCGACGGGGCCGGTGCTGATGGAGACCTTGTCACCCATAGCCAGGCTGAGCACGCTGCTGCCCGAGTTCACCTGCAGGATGTTGCGGCTGTTGTGGTCGCAGAAGCTGACCACGCGCTCCCTGTTCTTGGTGATGCTCAGACAGAGGTCCCCATTGGAGACCACCTGGAAGACGAAGTAGTAGAGCCCAGGGATGCTGCAGGTGAACTCCCCAGTCTGGGGGCTGTAGGAGCTCTCCTGGTTGGTGATGATGTTGTCGAACACCACTGTCCTGCCCGTGAACTGAGGGGACCTCCGTGAGGCAGAGAAGGCAGGACGCGGCTGCTTCTGGATGTTGACACCTACCCCCTTCTCCCCCTTTGGCCCCGCCTGGCCTGCAAGTCCAGGGGGGCCATGCAGGCCATGGTAGCCCCGGTTCCCTGGGATGCCAGGAAGCCCCGGCTCGCCTGTGTCCCCTTTGAGTCCCTTGATGCCCGTCCTCTGTGCTGATTTGCCTGGCGAGAGGTGGTGAGAAGGAGCAGTTTGTGCATGTCTGGCATCCTCCAAATTGCTCCCACAGCCCGTGATGCTCCTACCCTTGAGGCTCTCAGGCGACCTGCACCACACATCTCCATCTCCCCCTTACCTGGCTCTCCCACGTCACCCTTCTGCCCTGGCCTCCCATCAAGGCCAGGGACTCCCGGGAAGCCATCCTTGCCGTCCGGTGCCCGACACACGCCATCCTGCAGCAGAGCCATGCCCAGCATTGCTGCCAGGGTGCTGCTTGCCAGCCAAAACCCCAGTTGCATCCTGCCTCCCTGCAAGCACAGGGGTGGGGGAGTTTGCGATGAAGGCAAGCGCACAGCAAACATGCAGATACACTTTGGATACAGACACACAAGTGCTTTTATGAGATGCATGCATAGGTCTACCATGCCACCCACATTGTCCAGTACAGATAGCTGGACACCATGTGCAATGGTGAAAATAATTCACGGGAGGATTTTGAGGCTGAAATCATTGATATGTGAAAATCTCTGAAAATCTCTGGTATGTGCCCACAGCACGGCTGTGAGACTGGGGAGCCCAGGATGTGGAGCACAGCATAAACCCTTTGGTGCATGTCCTGCGGATGGGTGGTCACTCATCAGGTGCATGCAGAGGATGCTTCTTCCAGCGCTGGGAGAGCAGGCACTGATGTAGGGGGCAGTGGTCCCATGGGATGGAGAGCACAAGTGAGGAAGGGGTGCAAAGAGACACAACAGAGGAAGGAGAAACAGGAAAGGGACCAACAGGTAAAAGAGATCCTGATCTCCAACACACAGAGCTGGGAGAGAGGGGGGAGGTCCCGAGCACACAGTCCTACCCCAAAAACTGAGGTACTCAGCCCAGAACAAGCCTGCAGAGTCCAGTGATGCCCACAACCCCATGAAGAAAGGACAGATTCCTGTAGCATCCCCATCATCTCACCTTTTTCCTACTTTAAACCCTCATGAAGTGGGGAAGTGAAGAAAGGAGGGAGTCAGGGAGCAAGGACTGGAGAGCAGTGGCAGAAGAGGTGCGTGTCTGCAGCCATGTGGGATGACTTACCTCCCTGCTGGGGGTGAAGACAGACCAGTGTTAGCAGCGGCTCTGTTTGCTGGAAGCTCTTCCCTGGGAGCAGGGAGGAAGAGGAGCAGGGTGAGGGGGATGTACTTGCGTGCACAGTGGTTTGCCTGGTTGGGGAAAAGAAGTGCCAAGTTTCGCTTTCTCTGAGTGAGAGAGAAACTTGTTCCCCTTTCCACGCTTGGCCCCAACTGTGCTGGTCACAGTCAAGGAACAGCTTGGTCAGCAAAAGTGCAAGGACCAGAGAGTTCCCAGCCTAGCCCAGCAGCATGGTCCAGATGCCCACCTTGGCCAGGAGGGGCTTTCTGGTCCATATCCACCTGGAGTATTCGTTCAGGAGTCCTTGGCAGCTGCCCTGATCCTCATGAGAAAGCAGTGTAGGAGTCCCCAAAGCAAGCACAGCAGCAGCTGGAGCTTAGGGGAGGATGTTCAAGGAAAGAGGATGGGGTACCACTGATCCCAGAATCAGTGTGGTCTCAAGGCCAGGGGGGCTGGCAAAACCTCCATTCCCCCACCTGCTGCCTCCAGCGCTCCCAGGGAAGCTGCTGCATTGTTTCAAAAACAGATGAAAAATGGAACAACTGCTGTGAAACCAAAAATCAGCCCTAGAGACCCTTGCCAGACAAAACTTTGCTCATCAGTGCACCCCCATTAATAATTACCTTTGGAGATCCGTCACTGAACTGGTCTTTAATTCATTGAATATATGCCCTTTTAATGCAATATAATACACATTTTTAATCAAAATGTCACCACATAATAAATCAGATGCCCAGCAGAAATGCAATTTTATTCTATCAGCAGAGTTCCTCTATCAACCAGACCTGTAGTCATGTCAAGAAAAGATGACAGGTGAGTTTGAAAAGACCTACCTTCCACAAAACGGTGTTTCTGGGCAGTAATTGTATTTCTGCCCTATTGCCCTTTCGTAATATACAGCCAAAATGGGACCACTCCACCATTTCATCCAGGATTGATCGATGGCTGTGTCCTGGTGCCCCTGTGTCCTTTGTTCCTGACTGTGCAACAACCCCATTTAAATGCTGAATTACAGGTGGCTGGTTAGGGGTTTCAGCATCTCCTGGAAGCTGGTATTGGTCCAGGTGGCATCTCCTCCAGGTCCTCGAGGCTCCTGAGCAGTTGTTAGCCCCAGTCACTTGACTTTCAATGTTGTGTTCAGGCCAAGCTTTCCTCTCCCATCCTCTGAGCATCTCCTCCAGATCTGCATTTGGGACATCTGTGGCTCCAGAGCATGGTTGGCTGCGGGGACCCATGGACCAGCAACATGCAGCTTCAGCCCAGAGACTTCTGCAGACCGCATCTGCCAGAGCAAAACCACCTCCAACCTGGCACTGTCCTCCTTCCCCTGTCCATCAGGGTGGTGGCCGAAGGACACGGTGAGGGCCGTGCCCGGCGTGTCGCAGGCAGCGAGGTGACAAGCCACGAGGTGGCAGTGCTGCCTCAGCCATCCTTGGTGTCTCCTGCCCATCACGGCTCCTCTTCCTCCTCCAAAAGCAGGGGCAGGGGTCGATCCCCTGGGGATCCCCGTGTCACCCCCCGACACCGCAGGGTGTCCAGTTGCAGAGCAGGCACACGGGCATCCCCGCCTCGGCCAGACGAACTCAGCTCACTCCTGTAAACGCAGCCCCAGTGGAGCCACATACGCCTTTCCCCAAGCTGTCAGCAGTGTGGGACTCCCTGAGACTATGGCAGAAGTCGTGTTTCCTCAAAGAGGGACGTGGTGGAAGGAGCAAGGGGTCGCAAAGCCCTGGCAGGTTATCCCTGCTGATATAGGGATATATGTCAGCATACATCTTCAGTATCATCCCACCAGCACCACTACCAGCAGGCTCCAGAATGGAGAAGGGGCAAGTACAACAGAGGAGACCCCCAGATGACATGAAATGGGACCAAGCCCAAGGCAGAGGGGAAGGTGGGTGTATGCTGGAGCAGCCAAAGGATACGGGTGCTCTGTAGAGCCAAACCAGCCCCAAAGAGGACACAGTGAGCATCAATATCATCAGGATGCCTGTCACTGCCTCCTAGCTCTGCTGCAGACACAGGACCAGCCTTGCTCCAGGTGGATTTTACCCTGAGCAACCTCCTCCTCCTTTCAAGATGGGCCATGGGGCAGCTCCTTCACCTCTTTGCTGCCCTCCACCCTGTGGTGCCAGGCAAGATGGGTCAGCGCCAGCCTAACCTTGTACCCCTTCACGGAAGAAAAGCACCCCCTGCAAAGCCTCCCCCCCTGCATCCCCCATGCCTGCAGGCACACAGGAGTTGCCTGACAGCAGACAAGAGGGAGAGCTGCTCCTCCGCTGCCTCCCCTGCTGGGATCCCCTAGGGTGCTGAGCGGTGACAGGCAGGAGCTGCCAGAGGAGGATAAATCAGGCAGTAAGCATCTCGCTGACACTGCAGGAGACAGTGGGAAAGGCAGGGTGGTGGGAGATCAGCAGTACCTGCAGGGGCTGCACACACCTCTGCTGCCAGTCACCAGCATCCCAGTCTGCCACCAACACCCACTGTGAGGCCAGGGCAGCTCAGAGCATCTCTGCTTCTGCAGTCACTGGTGGCTTAATGACGCCCAAATAACCAAGACCATTTGTCTGGCTACCTGTGATCTCACCTCTCTTGAGCTGGCCTGTCCCAAAATTCTCAACCTGTGCTGCTGGCCAGCAGAGAAAAATCCTGTGCAGCACAACGGTGCTTGCTTGAATTCTGAAGCGTCCCACGTTTTGATCAATGAAACAAGAAGCCAGGATGGTTCAGGTGCCCTGGGAGGATTTCCTGAGATGTCGGCTGAAAATCAGGCTGCAAGGCCACTTGCCATTCATGCCTAAAGCATTTTAATTGCTGTCCCAGGGGACGTTATTCCTATGACAGATGCTTACACTGAGTGAGTACAAGGAGCAAAGACAGGTTTAAAAGCCAGGATTTCATGCTCCAGCCCTTGCTCACTATCTCCTGGCATTGATGCACATCCCTGTTGGTTCATGGGATGAGAGGCGATAGATGAGTGCTGAGCAGCCTTGGGCAATGCTGTGAAAGCTTGTCCCATCCCTCCTCCTCTTGTTCTCTGTTAAGGATGTCAGGGCTTGTTGTTATTCGACATCTATTGGTTAATTTGGCTGATTGTTTCTTTAATGTATCTCTTATTTATTTATTCAGTTGTGTGAGAGCAGTTCTGAATTGATCACTTTGGCATGCAAATGAGCTGCTCTAGTGCTTGTCACTGAAATTTGTAGATTGGGAGAGTTTGCAATCAAACACAGCCGGAATCTAAATTACAACATTTCAGGCAATAATAGCAGGGAGAAGACAGGAAGGATGTGCCATAAATAAGATGGGATCAGAGCAGGGTGCCCAGAGTTGTGCTGACAAGACACCAGGAGCTCCCAGGCACGCAACAGGAGTCCCTGCAGGCCTGGCAGGGCTCTGCTGCTCGTTCCCCTCGGGAAAAAGGGCAAGCAGAGGAAGCAAAAGGCTTTTTGGGAATGGCAGGATATGGCCAAGGGCTACTCGCACCTGTCTCTGAAGAGGGCTGATGAAAAGTGTGCAGACACAGGACTATGGGCTGCAAGGAGCATCTGGCCCATTGTATGGGATACTGATGTGCTTGCCACCATGGCCCATGTGCAGATCCTTCCCACCCCTGAGGGCCCCATCAAAAGTCAGTGGATGCATTCAGGACTCAGTTCTGTCCATCTAAAGGTCAGCAAGAGAGAGCACTCAAGGCAAGTAACAGAGATTGAAGTGCCATAAGCCTTCCTGCAGGTGATGGGCACTGCGGCTGAGCTGAGGAGCAGGGAGCCAACCAGGATCTCTGCAGGGCAAGGGCAGAAGTACCTGAACCAAGCAGGACATCCCTGGACTGAAGTCCAGCCAGGAGAAAAGTGATGTTCATCAGGCACAGTGCTGTGAATCTCAGCAGAGATGGTGAAAGCACCTCTGGGATCTCCTGTCCAGCTGCTCGCTCGTGGCAGCACTATTCCCAGCCCTAGATCAGGGTGGCTGTGGCTTTGCCCACCTAAGTCTTGAAACCACCCAAGGACAGAGATCTCCCACCGGCCTGGGATCTCACCCTCCCCTTCACCTGCAGAATGGCCTCCCCACTGCTGACCCTAGGTATGAATAATTTCCCTTGACCTTGGCCACAATCCCCTCTATGTAGCAGTTTATCTTTCCTGTGGTTTGTTCACATTCA